TGGGAGAGGGAGAGGGAGGAGGAGGGGAAGGGGAGAGGGAGAGGGAGGGGAAGGGGAGAGGGAGAGGGAGAGGGAGTCCCTTTTTCACTCTGCAGTCTCAGATTCTCCATTGTGTCCTAAAAGCACCAAGACCAACCCCCTGGAATTCCCAACCTCACTGGGCTCGGACAGCCTCAAAGGTTGTGATCCCAAAAGGTCTTCTCCAGTCCAGTAAGCCCCAGTACTTACATCAAAGTTGCCCACATTTGAGGTTCTAAGGTTGAGGGTGGCCCTGCAGAGGAAGAATGTATCCCATTAGAAGCAGTGATAGCCTGGGACTCATAAGGCACTGCATTTCACCAACCATCAGAAGTCCCTCCATCATCATCAAGGAGTTGGGGAGACTTGTCCTGATGGAACTGGTAAGAACAATTCATTTTCCTGTACTGAGCACAAAGAAAGTTCCAGACACCATGCTAAGGGCTTCCCATACCACAGAGGTAAGGCTGAGATCACAGCTTTTGCCACCAGCTTTGTCACAGCTGAGACTTCAGGAAGGGAACATGAGCCAACTTGAGCCTGTGCACTCTGCTGCTGTGATATTCTGAGAAGGGAGACCTGCCTTTGAGATCCTGCTCTGCATCAAGAGCAGCCTCTATATCTCTGCATCCCACAACCCTGCCTGTAGGGCCACACCAGACTCCCCCAGGGGACAGAGAGCCGAATTTGGGGCCACTCTGAAGGATAGGTTCAAGAGAGTCAGAGCAGCCTCCTGGGGGAGAAGACTCCCGGCTGGATGTGCTTTCTTCCTTCTGACATCCATTCCCAGCCCTCTCCTCCCCACAGCACCCAGCAGCCTTGGGGCTCTGAAAACGGTCCATGACATGTTCCCTGCTGGAAACAGTCTATCCCCACTGGAAATTCTAGCTCTCCTTTCCAGAAATCCCCACTCTCCCCAAGACTGCTCTTCTCACCAGGCCTGGCTGCCCATCCTCAAGCCATCTGGGAGGCTGGACTAGCAATACCTTGTGAGTATCCTCCATTGACAGTATCCTTCACTGCTGTTTATAAACACTGGTCATAAAATGGGCCGAGAGTCCCAAGCAGGATCTCATTAATCTTGAAATGGGGGTGGTAATACTTATTTCCCCCAGGCTGTGTAACAGAGATGCTTCCAGCACCTAGCTCAGTGTAACAAAGTAACAGTGTAACAGTGTAACAGAGACATTTGAAGCACCCAATGGACAACAGTTACTGTGTTCATGAATCTTATGAAGTAGACCATTGTCCTCATCTTCAGAGAAGAAGACTGAGGCTCAGACTAGCAGTCGCCTGGTCAACATCACATAGCCAGAGAATGGTCACATGAGGATTTGAACAGCATTGCTGAACTCCAAAGCCATTTAGCACCACTGGCACATGTATCCAGGCTGGCTCCAAGACCCTGTCTGTGTGGGCCTGAGTGAGTACATCACCTCTCTGAGCCCTCGTTTCTCATCTCAAGTACAGGAGAGCAAAGGTCCAAATGTCACAGGTCCTTAAGGAGGATAAAGAATCAAAAATAATCTAGCAGCTTGTCACTGTCTGTGCTGAGCCCCGAAGTGCTTGTTTGATAGTTTCTCTCTGCTCTGCTCCTGGCTGTGGTTCCCAGAGATCTCAGCACACAAGGCCACATCTGCTTCTGCCGCTTCTTGGATTTACCCAACCTTGACAGCACCCAGCAGACCTCAACCGCTCCCTGGTGTCCCAGCATGGGCCAACACTGGCCATCTCAGTGCTAAAGATGTACTCTGAGGAGCAGAAGGCCGGGGAAGCAGATCCCCTTACTTGTCCAACTTGGTGTCGATCATGAGTTTATCTCCTTCCACGGAAAATGAGGCCAAGAGGTCTGTGTCCTGGAGGGAGGAGACGGAGAATGAGCATCCCACAGGCCCCTGCTGGCTGAGTGCTCGTGGAGTGCAGCGATCACTGCTGCCTCATTTCCCTGAGAGTGGCAGGTCACTCCCACTGTCAGGAGACCAGTTGTCTTCAGAAGCCCAAGGCTGGCAAGAGTGAACCCCAAACCTGTGGTCTGCACCTTCTTCCCCTCCTCTGGAGGGAAATAGGAGTGACAATCTGTCAACACCTACTGCTGTTTTCATGAGTCTCAGTAAGAGATGAGTGAACATTTCTCAGAAAGCAAGATGCCACAGATGCCTGTGACTGTCACTATGGATGTTGACAAGTTCCTGTGAGGTGCCTTAGAGAGGGAGAGTGGGGCTTGCAGTCTATGAAAGTTGCTCTGAATGAGTTACTACAGATAGAATTGGGCAGCACCCCTGTCAATCATAACTGCCCCACCCCTTAGGAAAGGGCATAAAAGATTCAGACTTCTCTCCATCTTCAAGAAGCAGCTTTGTTGCAAGAAAAACCCTCAGTTGCCCCCCGACCCTCTCATAAGAAGACAAAATAAAACAATAAAAATAAGTCTACCTTATGAAAATTAAACATGCTTCCAACAAATTCAGGGGACAGTGTTAGTAGGACAGTGATGGGAAGGAGCTGGGGCCCCAGTGCAAGAGGCAGGAACCTAAGCTGGCACAGGAAGTCATCCTGAGGAAATGATGTTTGAGCTGAAGACTAAAGGATGTGTAGGATTTAGACAAATGAAAAAGGGTTGGAGAATAATCCAGGATGGGGGGGCACATGCCAAGGTCCTGAGGCAAGGAAAAGGAGGTGTTAGACCCCCAAGAAAATGGAAAGTGAGGGTGTGAGAGTAGACTGAGACTGAGGGGAATGAATTGGGCTGGATCAGGCAGGGCCGTGGGCCTAGGCAGCCAGGGCCTGTATCCCAGGGCACAGTGAGAAGTCACAATGACAGTTTAGAGCTGGTTCACATGTCTGGGCTATTAATGGAAAATCTCATGGTAGGGGCTGACCAGTAGAGTGCATACTGAAGGCAGCCACTCCCACTCCTGAGGAAAAACCATCCCTTCTCATCATCCATCTGATGATGCCCAGGAAGGACTCCACAACCCAGTAGCTTATGTCCAGCCAGCAGTACCACCTTCCAAGATGGAAGCAGCTTATTTGGTCCCCAGACCTGGGAGCAGCAGTGACTGCGAATGCATAGCATGTGGGACCAGAACCCTGAGTGTCTGCCTGAAGCCTCACTCAGAGAGGGACTGACTCTCAGCACACATCCCGTTTTAGAATGTTTACTGAGCACCTACTATGTGCTAGACCCGTGCTAGACTCTGGGGGTCTGAGCAGTGGATGGGATCCTTCAATCTCTACTAAGCAATAAATTCACAAATGTACTGTGCAACGTCAGGTCAAAGCTTCAAGCAAAGAAAAGCAAGGGAAACATGAAGCATGGTGGGCAATCCAGGAAGCTCTTCTGAGAAGGTGATAGTTGGACAGAGACCTACAGTAAGCACAAGAGTGAACCAGGCAGACATCTTGGGGAAGGGCATTCCACACAAATGAACAGCACAAGCAAAAGCCCTGTGATTAGACTGTGCCTGGTGCATTGAAATAACACTGGGGAGCTGAGGGGTGACCAGGAAATGACCTTGGAGGACTTTGAGGAGTATTTTTGGGAAGCTGCCTAGCATCAGAGGATTGGGGGAAGCAGGGAAGATTTTCATTTATTTAATATTTTACTTGTTATTTTTATGTGTATGAGTGTATTGCCTGCATGCATGTGCGTGTACCCATGTCATGCAATGCCTCAGAGGTTAGAAGAGGGCTTCGGATTCCCCTGGAACTGGAGTTAAAGGATGGTTTGGAGCCGCCATATGGGTGCTGGGAATCGAACCTGGGTCCTCTGCGAGAGCAGTCAGTGCTCATAACCGCTGAGCCATCTCTCCAGCCCCAATTTTCATTTTAAAAAGACTCCTTGAATAAGGTCTAGTCTTCTATGGCACAACAGGGTGACAAGGAGTCATAAGAATTTCTCCTATCTCTAGACAGCTGGGAGAGAGAATTTTCAATTTTTCCAATGCAAGAGAAGATGAGTGTTTGGGGTGATGGGTAGATTCCGGTTTGGTCATTGCACACTGAATGAGTGCATTGAAACGTCTTGTGTCCTATAAATATGTCCAGTGATTTTGTGCCAATTAAAAGCATAAAAAGAATCCTTTGCTGTGAAATAACTATGGAAACCCTTACTAGGCACCAGGGGTTTGGGAGCAGATACCACGTGTGTTGTTTCTCTCTTCCCTGGCATCTAATAGAAAGTGTAACACATACTAGGTGCCCACTGACTATTGTCGGATGATGACGGGACTGTATAGTCTGTGTGAATACTGACAGCTGCACCTCAGGCCCTCACAGTACCCTCAAGGCTGCTCTGAGCTGCTTATCAATGTCCAGCTATCACTTCCAAAGGAGAAGAAAAATCAGGCCCAGAGACAGGGAGCCACTAGCTCAGCATCACAGTCAGAAGTGGTAACAGCTGGATCCAAATCAGCTCCTCTGAACCCAAAGCTGGGCAGGTCATCACTGGTAGAGACTATGGGAATGTGAAGAGGTTAGGGATCCCCAGGAGACCATGTAGCTCTGTCTTTAGGGCCAGCTAAGGAAGCTGGACCCCCTAGACACGTACCACATCAATGAGGCAGATGGTGGTCACCACGTCATTGGGCTGAGAGACTATGACCTCAGAAGTGGCAAACACCTTCACCAGCGCCTTGTCCTTCTGCAATGTCACCGATGGGGGGTTGGGCACCTGGATCCTGATGGTGAGTGGGCGGGACTCAGGATACTGCTGGAACACCTGTGGGCAGCATCAGACTCAGTGGTCAGGGTCTTTGGGAGTGGGCCATTGTCAGCCAACCAAACACAGAGTAGGAGCTCCCCACAGAGGATCTTTAGGTGCTGCCCATCATTGGAGGCCCACATACCCCAAGGGAGGTGCCAACCCACTGTTGGACCAGGCCAAAGGAGGCCCTCTCAGGGCCTCTCACACAGGACCCCAATGCGAACTCCATGTAACAAGGCTGGCAGAGCCCTGAGCTCAATGCCAGAAACATGGAGCTGCTCAGAGCCTGGCTTGGAGCCAAGCAGGGTTTGCCGGGCTAGGAGCTAAGAGGCAGTCCCAATCCAACTCATTCAGTAAACACAATCCTACTACAGAGGAGAAAGCAGAGGCCACAGGGAACTGGCACACACTGTCCATGGTCTGCAGGGGACACAGGGCCCTTTGTACCCCTCCTAAGTTGGGAAGGTTCCTGCCAGGCCATTCACCTGCCTATTCACCTGCCAGGACTTCCTTAAGGGCCATGGTGAGGGAAACTTAACCCATTCCCCCAGATCAGCTTCCCAAAGCTAACTTGCTAAGGAGACAATTCACCAAATGACTGGTTTATCGTAGTTACTAACTGGTTTACCAAGAAAGCAAATTCTAGCTCTTAAATATATCAAGCAGACCCAGACACTGCACACACCCTCTTTCAAAAAGGAATAGGAAACAGTCATTCTTCAAGCAGAATTTGCCCAAGGCCAGACTCAGAGGGGATTAGACCTAAGAAAACAAGTTTGTCTTGACACATGAGGGTTGAAATTCTTGTATATAAGTTCTTGGTTAAGGTGAAAATTTTAGTAAAGTCAGCCCCTTCTACAAACTCACCCTCAAGCAGGTGGGCTTCAGCAAATCAGTCATTTGACCAACTAGCTTTTCATGGGGGATTTTCAGGACACTTCCCCAGAGGGGCCTGGGGTCCCAACCTCCCAGACCGGAACAGGCAGCATCTCCAAATCTTAGCAATGCCTCCTTCACAGAGACTCCAGGACAGCTGTAACTTTCTGCCTAGATCAGCAGGGCCACAGGGGGCTGAGAGAGCCGTGGTGGCCACCTTCAGTCATTTCAAGCCCTGTGTTCTTGTAACTGGGGCTCTGTCACTGCCTCTGTGTGTGACCTTTCTGTTCCTGTTGCCCAAGTGCAAATGAGGAGTTTGTCCCTCAATGAAAGAAGTGCTTCTGAGGAAACTCTCACAAGCTATACAGTGCAGTGGACTAGTAATCAAAGCTCCATGGTAGAGTAGAGGTCTACTGCAGAGGCGAAGGACAGAGACCGGCTTCTGCTACTCAAATGCCAACCACACGAGGGCAATAGCGATCAGTTTCTGAGTTTTGTCTTTAATCCCCCCCACCCACCCCCCATTCCACCTAGAACTAGACAGAACAGGTAGAGAGAGATGGAAAATGCCACACATGGCTGCAAATGAGCATCTTCCACCCTGTGGGGCACTTCTTACGCACAGCTCTTTGCTGCCTGACAACAGGCCAAGAACTAGAGTTGGGAACAGAGAAACCTTTGTTGTACCTTAATACGGCCACTTAAAGAAAGAGAATCTGTAATTATTAGCAATAATAGCTGTTAACATCTGTCAAATGCCTGCTCTGGGCCTGGGTTGCAGATCCCAGATCCACATCCAGCCTATGGGGTGAGTATTGTTGGCTCTGTTTCCAGATGGGAAAACAGAGGTGTGGAGAGGTGAGGTCATTGGCAACAGCAATATAGCTGGACACGCTGAGCCATGCCTGTCATCTCCAAAGCTCTTCTCCTCTGAGCTTCCCTGCTCCCTTTCTAGGCAACCTGGACAAGTGGTGTCAGCAAGCCTTTTTCCACAAATTAGGAAACTAGGGCTCAGCAATCTTAAGACTTAATGTCCAAAATCACACAGAGAGGATGGGGCTTCCACTCAGAGGTCCAGCACTTGCCTAGCATGTGCAAGGTCCTGAGTTCAAACCCAGTATTGCAAAGCCATCAAGTCAAGGAATGGTCAGGTCAGGACTAGACCTGTGTAAGCTGATCTACCACCAGGTTCAGGATCTATGAGCCTTGGCCCTCCCAGGGCTCCCTCACCAGAGACTGGCCTCCATACCTCTGTCACTGAACTCCAAGGAGCCAGGGAGAATCATGCCCCAATGCACCATTATCACTGCCTGCAAAGGGCTCTGGCCACAAGTTCTATTTTCTCTTAATTAAAATTGCAGAGCACTAACTATGTACTGGAACTAATTAGAGGCTGTCCAGCCCTGAGACAGCCAGACTCAAAGAGAAGCTAGAGACAAGGGCACCAATAGCCTCTTTTACATACCTTGGGAATCAGGGCTCCCAGTGTGGACGTGGTGAGTGGAGGAAGCTCTTCAAACTGTGGGATAAAGATAAGGTCATGTGAGTCCAGAGGCAACAGGGACAGACAAGAGCTGTAACACAGTGCTTAGACTCCTGTGTACCCAAAAATGGTCAGACCCCTTGGGAAGCCCTACCTTCTAAGAGTAGCCACTGTGTAGCCCGCATAAGCAGTTTCCAGGCTACATGGATGGGGCCAGCCATGTACATTCTCCACAGACATGACTTGAAGCATGCAAGCCTGAATCTTTCTGTAATGTAATTCTTTAGAAGCAAGGGGACTTGGCAAGGTCCATTCAATATGACCTAGCCTCCACTGACTCCATGACCTCTCCATGTTATTTCCTTCACATCTCCTTATAACCACTTGCTCTCAAAAACCTCAGATGTTAAAAGATGAAAAGGCAGTTGCCAGTTGACAGAAAGAGTTGGTGACCATGGAACCAGCCCAGTAAATGGAAAACAATGTCATCTCCTGCACAGGTATGCTATCAGCGAGGGCCCTGGCCATGAGTTCAAATGAGACACTCAAAGCTGGGAGAATGTTATCTATATACTGGAGCGAAATGTCCTCTCAAGGGAATCAAAGAATTTTATGATTTTCTTCTAGAATACTTCATTTTTAGGAGAAGCAGTGAAAATTATGGAGTGAAATATGATATCTTAAGACATTCAAATCGTTTAACATATAAGACAGATAGGTGATTGGTAGATAGATTGTAAATATATGGTAAACAATGGATGGATGACTGGGTGGATGGATGGATGGGGCATTAGATGGGTGGGTGGATAATGGATAGGTGATTAGGCGGATGAATGAGTGAATGGATAGGTGACTGGATGGATAAGGAGTGAATGAGTAGGTAGATGGAGGTGGATGAGGGTGGATGAGGCAGATGGAGGTAGATGAGGGTAGATGGGGTAGATGGAGGTGGATGAGGGTGGATGGGGTAGATGGAGGTGATGAGGGTGGATGGGGTAGATGGAGGTGGATGAGGGTGGATGGGGTAGATGGAGGTGAATCGGCAGGAGTTGATAAATAGAAAGGAAATTATGAACTGGTAAATCTGAGTGAAACATATACAAGCATGAATTGTCCTTTTCTGAAGGTTGGAAGTCTTTTAAAGAAAGGGTTGGAGAGACTGGCTCCAGGGCACACCTCAGGGTATTCATTGTTTCATCCTTACACTGAGGTGTTTACATGTGAATATGCTATGCTTTTTTAAAAGGACTACAGTAAGCCTGGTGTGGTGGTGCACACCTTTAATCTCAGCACTCAGGAGGCAGAGAGCCAGATGGATTTCTGTGAGACTGAGACCAGCCTGGTCACTATAGCAAGTTCCAGGTCAGCTGGGTCTACAGGGATACCCTGTCTCCAAAAGACCAAAAAAGCAAACAAATAAGCAAATATAAAAGCAAACCAAAAGGAATGAAATAAATCACTCTAAACAGGACTTCCTCCTCCTGGGATCTGAAGCTGCTTACTCCCATGCTGGTGAGGCACATGGGAGGCTCTGAGCATTGCCTTTGAGCACCTAGGTCTAACTGGTCAAAGGAAAGTCCTCCTCCAGTCCTCCCTCTGAAGCCTGGGGCCACGAAGGACTCCAGGGCCAGCACCTTGCTGCCCCACTGGGCGGGCTCACCATGCCGTCAGTGATGTCAATGTCCATTGCGCCTTGCTTCTGCAGCATGGTCAGCACAGAGCACAGGAAGTTGGCAGAAATGGCCAGCTGGGAGTTGGTGTTGTCACCCATAGGGGGTAGTTGTGGCATCTGTGGCCTGGGTGACAGAGCTGGCCGCCCCAGGGGGTAGTCAATGAGATCACCTCCTGCCTCCCCAACCAGAGTCTGCGGAGCAGAGAAAAGGAAAAGAAAGAAGAGGGCAGCTAGAGTCTTGAAGGAGGTATCTGAGCAATCATCCCAGCTTGAACCCACTGCATCTGTGGGGCTCCTCCTCTGTTTGGGAGGGAGGGGATCAATCGCAGCTCTTGCTTTATAATAACTTGTAATTATAATTACACATATGTATGTGCACACATCCATATGTATGTGCACACACATGCACTCACATCTATCTCCAAAGATGGTGCTCTGTGCAGTGTTCCCAAGGGCCTCTCTGGCCTCATTACCAGCTACCCTGCCCCTCACCTTCCCTCTGACCTCAGTCACCAGGGACTTGTCAGTCCTCCCACCTACCTACCACCCATGCCTTCCCCCTCTCCTTTCTTGTGCGTCCCTCTCATCTGGCAGCCCAGCTCAAGGGTCACCTCCTTTTAGAAGCCCTCATGGACCTCTCCTGGCCCCTGTTTTAGGTACTATCACAGCTCTGTTTAAAGGATTCTTATAGCCTGTCCCCTGCAATAGGCCAGAAATTCCTTTAAGGCAGAGGCTTTGTTCTGCTCGTGGGTAGGAACCCAGGCCTGACACACCATACATTTCTATAACGGACATGAGTCTGTGTACACATTACAGGTATGGCCATGTGACATAGTGTGCACTGGTATCTCTGTGCAGAAAGCACTGGGAGCACCATATCCATGTGACCCTGGCAAGGCCTCCTACATGGGTGGGTGCCCCTGCACACTGAGTGCCAGATCCATGGGGTGCTAGAGGAGCTGCTCACCCAGTTCACAGGGTGCAGTGGCCCTCAGTTCAGTCATGTTGCCAGTTTGGCACTGGCCATAGTGGCAGTGTTTATACTATGGAAAGCAGCAAATGCTGCCAATCAGACCTTTAAAAAAATCACCAAGAACCAGTTGTTAACTGTGTGCTAGCATTCCACTGGCCAGTGGTTTCTCCAGCAGACCCAAGCTCGCAGCAACAGCTGCAGTCACTGGCACTTGGATGCCTGAATGCAGACCCCAGGCCCATAATCACTAACTGTGTGGCCTTGAGTAAGTGATGCCACATCTCTGTGCCAGCAAACAGGCCTCCCAATGCAGTTCCTGAGGACTGACTGAGATCATCAGCATGAAGCACTTGTACCTGGCTCATTGTGAGCACTGGATGGTGAGTGACAATACTTCCTAGCTCTATCCTAGAAGGTCTCTATGAAATTCACAAAGGGTCCTGTCCAGATATTGCTCCCAGCATGCACAGAAGCCTCAGGGGCACTACGCTCAGCCCACATTGAGCCCATGCCCCATCTCCGGGAGAAAGGCTCCCAGTCCAGCACTTACATTAAGGTCCAACTCGAGGAACTCTCCAGTGACCAATGGGAGGCTGGAGAAGGTATACTGTATACTCCCAAGTATCCCCAGAGGCACCAGAGCTGCAGGCAAAAGGGAAAGTCACAGCGCAGTCCCCTCCCCACCACATGCTCCTCCCCTGCCTCCATGCCTATTGATAGCTACAGTATAGACTAAGGCCTCCATTGAAGCTCCAAGCAAGAGCTAGCAGCAGTATTTTAGGTTCCAACCCCAGTTCTGCCTCCTCCTTGCTGTGTGACCTCAGGCAAGTCCCTGCACCTCTCTGGACCTGTTTCCTCCTCTGTAAAGTGGCCTTTATGTGCCATCCTAATGTCTATGAGTTCTGTAGACTGTGAAGCATGACACACCCAGAAAACGCTTAGGGCTCCACAATGTACTGCTTGGTTGGAGCTGCGTTTCCCTAACCGCCTGCTATCTTCTGCACTTCCTTTCCTCATCTCTGGCCACAAAGGGAAAGATTTTTGCCCATTTATGAAAATTATCCTACAAACTGCCTGACATTCCAAGACATGGAATCACTGTCAGAGAGGGCTGCCCTGTGTGGTTGCAGGAATTGCACTGAACAACATGGCAGTGTTGTCATGTGAAAGAGGGTGCTGGAATCATATCACAAGCTTCACAACTATGCAGGGCAGCCTTGCTTTCTGGACTGTTCCCTCAGGACTGGCACTTGCATTGCAACCTGTTTCTACATACCTGTTTGATGTCTTTACTGCCTCCTATTGTTGCACTGTGGTCCCTCAACTCAAAACTGCCCTCCTCATTAGAGAGATGAGGTTACTGGGAAGTCTTTCCAAGGCCATAAGTGCCAGGGCAGAGCCAGCCTCCCATTCAGCCTCTGGCTATCCAAATCAGGCCTCCCAGATCCAGAGAGAACTCTGACCTCTCTGGCTTACTGAGACTTTGCAGCCTAAGAGAAAAAGCCCTAACCACCAGATTGGGACCTCCTCCCAGATGTTGCAGTGCTCATTGGGCTGGGTCCCCAAGGAGACATTAGCAGGCCCTGGCCATACAGCAAAAAAGGAGTACTTACAATCCACAAGACCCAGCTGGTCATTGACGAGACCCAGTACCACATCCACGATGGGGCAGAGCTGTGGGAAGAAACACCATGGAGCTTTGGACACTGCAGGAGCTAGAGAGGGACATGTGCCCATGGCAACAGTCACAGCCAGTATGGGTAGCCTGACTGTTCTGTACAGGGACGCCATCTTCATCAGCCCAGGGAAAGGGCTATCCCCTAATTCCCATCTTAGAGATGAGAAACAGACTCAAGGAGGTAATGAGACTTGTCACGCAGCAAGGGAACATCCCACCTGGGAGTCAACCCCAGAGCTGTGGATGCTCAGACTGGCCCTCCCATTCCCTCTACTCATCTGTCGAAACCAACAAGGCTACTCCAGCCTTGGCTCCCTCCATCCCACTGGGTCACCTGGCTGACCCTGGGTCACAGCCCCTTGACTGTTCTTACCAGGTCAGGTAGGACGTTGGCCAGCACTCGGTTCACTAAGTTGTCCACGAGATTGGGAAGAAGCCTGCAAAGAGAGGGGCAGGCTGAGAACAGACCCTCAAGCACTGAGGGTTCTGTGATGTCCATTAAGATCAGTGCCTGGGAGATTCTGGGTTTGGACCCTGGAGTCTCATTTTCTCTGTCCCCATCCAGAGCATAAATAAATACAGAGAAGCCGCATGAAGAAGAAAGTTTGGCATTCCAGACTCATTCCGTGAGTCTTTCCACTCCTGAAGTCTACATGAGATGAGCTGGGGTGAAGGAGCCAAGGTATTGGTAAGAAAAGAGGGGAAGGAAGGACCAGAGATCCCAAAGATAGAGGCTAGAGAAGATCTTCTACACTGAGGGACAGGAAGTGAAGAGACAGGCACTAAGCTATGAGCTGAACGAGTGTGCTGTCATCCACAACCTCCCAGACCATCATTTGGGGACAAGGTGCTAGCTAACACATAGACAACCTAAAAGCTCTCTGAACAAAAGGGAGGGTCTTGGTCACTTTGAAGAGAAGCCATAATAGAAAAATATCACCGTCCAACCAGGGGTACTTTGAACACAGCGAGAGGAGAAATTTCTCCATGGGTTGGAACACTTGCCTGGATATATCTTCATAAGCTCTGACAGCATGCCAGATTCTGTACTGACTGTTTTATACTTATCATCTCAGTCCCCAAGGAAAACAGAATTTACCCCTTCCCCTTCACAGATATAGAATCTGAGGCTCAGACAGGGCAACAGAGCTGCTCAGAGTCACACAGTGAGAAAGAAGGAAGCTGAGATTGAACATGGCTGGGCTTTTCTAAAGCTGGGGCTATGTGTTGTAACTGTTGCCTAGATGGTTAGAAGCCCACATCCTGGGCTCAAAGGCACAACTCTTGAATTGCTATCAAGCAGGTGCCAGACCGGTCCATGGCCAGAGCAATATGTAGAAGATGCCATATGAATCATCTCTGTGGAATGCCATCTTGTTTCTCAGGACAGGCAATTCCAGTGCTCTCTGACTTTGTCCAGCCCCTCCCCACCCCGTGCTCACCCCCGAAGCAGCTTGACTTTGATGCCTCCCAAGAGGGTATCACAGCGCTCGATGACCAGCCGTGGGTAGCCCGTGCGGTCCATGGTCAGCCGAACCTTGGCCGTGATGTTCACCTCCACTGCGATGTCCAGGAAGCCAATGAGGCTAGAGGAAACCGGGAAGGCTGTGAGCCGCACTCACCACCAGAAAGCTGAGCAGGCCTGTGAGGCATCTGTCATGTCAGGCTTTAGTGCTAACTGTTCCTGATATCAATTATGCACCTTGCTCATGTCTAGGGGCCCCAGACCAAGTACCATCTGACCCCTCAAGACATCCATGATGAATCTCTCTTCCCTTTAGTGAATGAAAGCTGAGAACAGGGCTTGGTACAAGCTCTGGTTTCCAAGGTAACCATTCAGTCACCTGGCTCTCAGGTAGACATGAACTCGCCCCAAGGAGATGACCCTATGCTGAGTGAGGCCCACCCTCTGAGGCCCACGTGGTGGGTTGCTAGAAAGGCACTCTCCCTGTGGTGGTAGCTGGTCAGAGAGGAATAGCCTTAGTACCCAATGCAAGTGAACTCAAGAAGGCTTAATGTTATTAGGAGACTCGTCCAAGAAATGAAATCCAGGCTACCCCCTACCTCCAACCTCTCAGATCCTAAACACTGCTACCAGGGGTTATAGACTGATTTAGGGCTTGGATGCTGGGGTTCACCTGGTCCCTCATAATGGATTCAGTAACCAGGTATGAAAAGGAAAGGTGGTTTGCCCAAGCACCCTCATCAGGGACCCCTCCAGGGCCAGTGGACACACCTCTTTCCATTGATGGCCACACGGGTGTACAAGCTCAGGTAGACACCCACGCCGGGCAGGAGTCGCACAGACACCCGGGGAAGGGTGAGCTCTACAATGCGTAGCCTGCATAGAGTCAAGAGCAACAGTTAGCTGCCACTGTCACCGGATGCAATCACTCGCTCAGAGTGCCCTCCCTCTCATTCCCTTCTCTGGTCCCCATACGCTGTCCCTCCTACCCCAGAGGTAATGAGGTTCATGGGCAGAACATGGGAAACAAAGAAGTTCAAGGCAAAAAAAAAAAACAAAAACACCACAACCCAGCCTCCCACCACCCAGGGACATCTGCACAGATGAGCATTTCATTTTCTTCTCATCTTTCCCATGTGAAGATCCTGCCCCTCTGCGGAGGCCCGCCCCTGCTCTTCCCTCCTGCACACTCTTCAGACTTCAGCCAGGGTCCTCCTGCACTAAGCCACCAGTCCTGACCCCCCGGCAGTGGCTCCCTCATTCTACACATTCTCCTTCCCCATCAGATTCTGCCTGCCATGGTGACTGGGTGACTGGGTCTGGCTGCTTTCTCCAAGCCCACATGCCCCACCAGCCTGGGAACAGAGATGTATCCTCAAGCCAACTGTGTCCCTCACATAGTAGGAGTTCTGCGTATTTGTTGAGTTAAATGACTATGAGAGCCTGGGCATGGCTGAAATAAGTAATTATAAATGATAATTATAATGTTCTTCATTATAAAATTATAGCATATACTATGTATAAGCTATAATTTTAAATCCTTGTCTTTTTCCTCTTAAACTGAGTTAGTCTAATCGTTTTACAGACCTGTAAACTGAGAGGCAGAGAGATGAAAAGAACATCCTAAAGTCACATGCAAATAGAAAAGGCAGTGCTGGGTACCAGCCTCTGGGCTGTTTCATGCCAGCACTCCAAGCATGTAACTTGGGCCTCTCAAGATGTCCAGTCCCAGCATCTCCCAGGCTCAGCCTCGCGGAGTGACCACCTGTTTCTGGCTCACCAGTCAGTAGGCAAAGAAAGGCCCCTCCTTACCCAGTAATGCCTTGTACAGTGCTCAGGATGCCGCCTTCTCCAAGCACACCCAGCACACCACCTCCTCCAAGAAGTCCTCCATCTCCAAGGAGACCACCTCCTCCGAGCAGGCCACCTTGGCCCGACAGAATCCCTTCATTCGCCAGCATGCCTCCAGTACCCAGCAGGCCCCCAGGGCCCAGCGCCCCGGTGGCCACGCCAGCCGGGATCTCCCCCGGCCGCAGTTCACGCCGTCGGAGCCTGGCCACTGGGGGTGGATCTACCGCAGATCTATACCGCCCGGAGTTCCGGTGGTAAGCATAATCCGCGTGACGGTAGTCCTCTTGCCGCAGGTCCCTGATGCTCCCATCCGACTCCAGGATCTCCCCATAGCGATATTTGCCCCCCAGCTGAGCAGTGTTGTCGTTGGTCTCAATGTGACCATATCTGTAATTGCCACCAAGCTGTCTGCCGTTGGTGTATTTAGGGGGAGGCTCTCGGACATGGAAGTCGTTGTAGGGGACACCACCAACACCTCGGGGGAATTCAGCTCGTCTGTAGTCATGGTAGCGGTGCCGGCCACCACCCAAAAGGCCACCACTGCCACCCAGCAGCCCCCCACTGCCCCCTAGCAGGCCTCCACCACTGCTCCCTCCACCACCTAGCAGGCCCCCACCACTGCTCCCTCCACCACCCAGCAGCCCCCCACTGCCCCCTAGCAGGCCTCCACCTCTGCTTCCTCCACCACCCAGCAGCCCCCCACCACTGCTACCACTGCCACCCAACAAGCCTCCACCCAATAGGTCACCACCACCTCCTCCACTCCCACCACCAAGCAAGCCCCCCAAGAGACCTCCTCCCCCACTACTTCCACCTCCACTTCCACCAAGCAGCCCACCCAGGAAGGGCCCGCCACCATCACCTCGGACTTTACCCATGGGCACCTCCCTCAGGGCGGATCGGAAGGCATCACTCTGCTGCATTGTGCCAGAGATGGCTGTGGAGAGGCAAGGGTGTCAGCCAGGAGATTCCCCTCCACCCAGCCCCCAGATGCACCTCAAGGCATCAACCTGCTCTTGGGGCCTCACTTGTACCACTGAGAAAGGCAGAGGTGAGTGGGGCAAGAAGACCCATCCAAGGCCATATGCTGGGCATTCAGTAAGCTCGTGACCTAGATTTTACCTATGCTCACTTCAGCAAGAGTTCCACATAATTGGGCCAGGCCTTGGTGGGTTTCCTTTGCATAACTCTCACTTTGTGGCTTAATAAAATCTACTTTCTCATGAACTATCAATTCCTGAAGAACAGCCAGTACCAAAATAATGGTCCCCATTTGATGGATGAAGACAGAGAATTGTGAGGTACTTGTAGAACACTCAGGTAGAAATCATCTCATTTTTATTGTCACTACAGTCTTTGACAGGGACTGGGGACACAGCAGGCCCTCTATTCCTGGGTCAGAATGAGGACTTAAGATTCTGAGGCAGGAAGAATTATAGTGCCCAACTTGAACTTCAGTACCCTGGGGATGGGACAAGTCTCCAGAAGTCATCCCATTCAACCCTCACACTAGTACTCAGAGATGGGGTTGGGTCCACCCACTTTCCAGATGAGGAAACTGAGGTTCAGAGAACTCAAGTCATGGATTTAAGGTTGTATAATCAGGATTTGAATCCCAAAACGGCTTGTTCCAAGCCCGGGTTCTTAATCTCTGCTGTCTACTGCCTCAAGAGAATGAGCACACAGTCCCCAGAGTGGCATCTAGCACCCATGCCACCCACAACCCCCATTGGGACTGAACTCACCATTGCTCAGCACATCTTTAGTAACCCTGAGGACTGTGTTTGTTTCTTCGCGGGTGCCACACACAGCTGCCACAGACAGAGCAGCCATATACCACACAGTCCACATACTGATGTGGCTTCTCTGCTGAGGAGATAGTGCATGTCACCACCCTGGCCATCCTCCCACCCATCCATCTATCCACTCACCCATTAATCCGTCTGTCCTCATATCCATCCATCCATCCACCTACCCACCTCTCCATCTGTCCCTTCCATCCATCCGCCCACCCATCTACCCACTCACCTGTCCATCCATCATCTATCCTTTCCATCCGTCTACTCATCCACATACCCACCCACCCATCCATCTATCAACCCATCAATCCATCTGTCATTTTCTATCCATCCACCTACCCACCCATCCATTCATCTACCCATCTATCTGTTCTCTTATCCATCTATATACCCATCTGTTCGCCCATCCATTCATCCTCCTTTTCATTCATCCAGTTCTGGTGAGAAGGCAAAGCTAAGCACCCTCAGCCTAGAGTCATATCAGAACCTCAAGACCCAGAGAGAGGAAACTGATTAAGGTCCTACAGTGGGACAGAGTGCAGAATTTCTGATACCACTTTTACATTTTTCAAACCAAATCTGGTGACACAAAACACTCATTAAACAAACTGTCTCAGAGCATGGAGATCGGGTTATCACCCAAGACAGAATTTACAAATTGAACCACGGGCAGAGGGGTTATGGAAATTCCAACAAAAATAGCACACTAGTTGCAGGCAGACACTGGGGACAGCCCTCCAACATTCATACATCTACGTAGCCACACCCATGCTCCTCCTTCAATCCAGCTGTCCTAGCATTCTATCTTTCTATCTATCTATCATCTAAACGTCACCAAGCAAGTTGTAATATCAATCCATCCGCCATCCATTCACCCACCCACCTACGCATCTTCCTTCCGTCCGCCCATCCACCCATCTGCTCATCTACCCACCCATCCATTTTCCCATCTATCCATCATACAAGCAGCCAGAAAGTCCGTCATAATTCATCCATCCATTCACCCTCCCATCAACCCATCCACTTGTAACACATCCATCTAGGCAGCCTTCCGTACCTCCTGCCAGCTAGCAAACACTCTCCCCACCTCTAGAGCAGTGAGACCCCCACCATGTGCTTAAGATGAGGGCTGTGGATCAGAGCTGTCTGGATACTGATCCTCAGGTAAAAAGTCTTTATGTTTTTGGATCTCTGATTCATAACCACAAACATATATCTAAACCACTCATATGGTACTCAGTAAATGGCAACTATTATTTTTTTTAGGACCATCACTTCAGACCCTCAAGAAATAAAGGGCACGATGAGGGGGGAAGCCTGCATTGGGGCTTGGTTGGCTGGTCTCCATGGAGCTCTGGCTGCCTCCGTGTCCTTGCCCACTTCACCCACTCCATCTTCCCAGGCTACACATTCACCTGCCTCAGAAAATCAGCACAGGAAAGTCTCCCATTGTTGGCATCAGCCCTTCCCACTTAGGCATTTTCTTCTCTTTTTGTTCCCATTTCTCTTGAATTTCACAAAACCTCCAAGCTCTATAATGGTCATCTGCTCCTAGCAGTTTGGGAGGCACACATTTATGCCAGAATATGAAAATATTCTATGTGCAAGATTTTTTTTCTGGCTTCCTTACCTTATCCTGACCTCACGGCCTAGAGAGTTCTGAGTTCAAAAACCCCTTCAGTTAAAAAGATGGGTGCTAGCCAGGCGTGGTGGCGCTTGGCACACGCCTTTAGTCCCAACACTCAGGAGGCAGAGGCAAGCGGATCTCTGTGAGTTCAAGGCCAGCCTGGTCTACATAGTGAGTTCCAGGACAGCTGGGGCTACAGGGAGACCCTGTCTCAAAAAGATCAAAAAAAAAAGATGAGTGATGGGTACTGGTTGAGGCAGTTCCAGCATCAGCAAGCAGCTGAGGAACATCACAGAGGTAACACAGTGGTCCATATCCCTGAGAAAGTCCATACCCCTGAGTATAGCTCTCTCATGCATGCAGTTGTCTTGACTTGGGCCTATTTGCTATTTGATTTTCTGGCAGCTAGCAGGGCTCTCTTTTAGGCCTCCAATGTGGGTTCTCTTAGCCCTTCTCCAGGTCTCCCCTGCCAGCCTGGATCCAACAAGGAAGGGGCTCCTCCTTACCACAAGGGGGTTGTGCAAGTCTGTCCTGAAAGGTCCGTTGCCTGGGCCTCTGCTTTGGGCTGAGTCTGGCCACAGATAAGCCTTATAAAGCAGCTGCAGTCTGAGCCAGGACCCGGACAAGGAAGGGCCATGTAATTATGACGCACTAGAATTATAAGACCGGAATTCAGATTTTCTCTACAAATTGAACATTGAGCCCCTAAAACCACAAGAGTTTGTGGTTTGTGGCTAATTCCAAGAGGTGTGCTCAGCCCTGGATAGTGTTACATGAGTTGGGGTTTATCACCCCCAACCTGGGTACATTCCTGGAGAGCTCAAGTAGGCCCCCAGATGGGCACATCGGGATTCTAGTCCCAAGGCAAGGACTGCCCATCCAAGGGGACCTGGGGGGTCAGGGGAGATGGGAGCTGTTTAGCTTTTCATGACCCAGGTGCACTCTGTGTGACCTGTCCTCTCCAAGCCCACATTATCTTCATCTGGTAAATGGAGACAAGGCTTCCTTATGAGGCTGGTTTGAGGACTCTGGGAGATGAGGGGCCACTCCTGGGTAGACTTTTTTGGACCTGAAGGTTTTCCCCAAGTCTTTCATCATGAGAAATTCCCAAGTACAGCAATGCTGAGAGAACCATCTAGTTAATGCCACACACCTGCCACTCCTGCCAGCCTCATCTTCCATTTGCATCCTGTGATGCCTGTTCTGTCACATTTTTATTTATCTGTCCAGGAGCCCACTTTTTATTTTCATGGGCTTTTTTTTTAAGGCAGGGCCTTATGTATCCCATGGTGGCCTCAAATTCACTATGTAGCTGTGGATGCCCTTGAACTTCTGAGCCTCCCGCTTCTGCCTCTCTGGAATGACAGGCATATACCACAACGGTTGGTCTATGCACTGCTGTGAATTGAATCCACGGCTTCGTGCGTGTTTCTTGGTCACTCAACCAACTAAGCTACATCCCTATTTCCTGGTATTTCGAAGTGAGTTGCAGACGTTCAGCTAGTGCCACTACCCAGTCCACACACATGCTACCACCATTCTGTTCTTGTAAATTTCCACACAGTGAAAGCTTCGAGTCTTTCAGGAGCTTTTTATTTTTCAAATAAAATCTCACTCTGTAGCTCTGATTGGCTTGGAACTTGCTATATAAGTCAGGCTGGCCTAGATCTCACAGAGATCCTCCTGCCTCTGCCTCAAAGGCATCATCATACCCAGCACCTTTGAGGATTTTATACAACCTTGTAGCCAGCAGCCTCCCATAATGTAGAGCATTCCCATCCCCTAAATTCTCCTCCTTCCTTTTCCTAGTCACTCCACACTTCCCTACAGATGTCTACTGGCTCTTTCCTTGATATCCAAGGCCCTCCACAATCCAGTCCCTGTCCTTGTGGGGTCTCTCCCTCCCCTCGTGGGGTCCACAAGGACAAAGGGAGCAGAAGTGATGAACAGGGTCAGGACAGCCAGTGAGCACTGATGGAAGAAAGCCCTTCCTTATGGGGAGGCAGATTCAGTGATACAGCTCCAGACTCAGTGAAACAGCTCTGCTTATTCAGTGGGGGTCAGGGAAAACATAGTGTGGAGGCAGCAGCCAAAGCTTCAGCTGATAGGTGCTCATAGTATGCTTTATTTACATGTGGTAGCGGGATCCTATCATCTGGCTATAGGGCAATGCCTAATTATCATAAAGAAAAAACCTGGGGGCAGTTTTTATTGCAGGTAACTATGCCAAAGGTCACGTTCTGAATAAGGTCAGGCATCCAAGCTTGGAGGCACTTTCCAGGTAAGTCAGGCAGGAAGCCCCTGCTGAGAAAGGAGCTGACCTTAACAGCAGGGTTCCCCAACATCTCCTCTCCTCATATTTCTACCTCCAACTACCGCTTGTCCCCCTTGGCTTCCCTGCCTCTGGGCTTTTGCATGTGACAGCTTTGCTGTCTAGCATGTCTTTCATTCTCCCTCTGGACTATCCATCGATCCCTGGACCCCATCTGACATGTCATTTCTCCAGGAGAACCTGGAATATACCCAGCTCCCAGCCCAGCACAGGCCCAGTTACCAGGCCTGGGCACTCACCAAGGCCTCTTGCTCCCCACATCCAGCTCCAGAATAGGTCCTATTTCTACATCTGGTCATTGCCACCTCCTCCAGTCCCAACCCCGCCACCAGCTACTGCAAGAGGCCAGGATGTTCTCTTTCCTGCCAACGGCAGTCTTGGGCCTGCATTGCCAGTCCTCCACTGGAAGGTGCTTCTTTTTTTTTTAATATTTTTATTTATTATTTTTATTTTATGTGTATGCGTGTATTGCCTGCATGTAGGTAGGTGCACCCATGTCATGCAGTGCCCATGGAAGACAGGCTGTCAGATCTCCTGGGACTGGAGTTATAGACAGTTGTTAGCTGCCACATGGGTGCTGGGATTTGAGCCTAGGTCTTCTGTAAGAACAGTCAGTGTTCTTAACCACTGAGCCATCTCT